GAGACACTGGTGAAAAAATAATCAATATATCCTCGTGACTATAGTATCGCAGAATCAATATATTGTCGTGACTATAGTATCGCAATATCTCACAATTTATCGCATCGTAGCCCCGTGTCGTGATACGTATCGTATCGCCAGCTTCTTGCCAATACACTCCCCTAGGATGGGGTCGGCATGTTGTTGGTATCAACATCGGGACTGATGAAATGTCGTCTTGATCCGTCACCCCAAAAATAACAATTTTGGATTCATATTCTGAAGTTTTTGTGTCTGATCTTCTTAACAAAAGGCTGGCGCTAGTAAAGGTAGTGACCTACAGGGTGTGTGTGTGTGTGTGTGTGTGTGTGTGTGTGTGTGTGTGTGTGTGTGTGTGTGTGTGTGTGTGATGTTGTTGATCGTGGAGGATCGTGGAGCGTCTACAGGAGACCGTGAACCGACAGGTGTTTGTATTTTCATCGAGCAGGGAAACCGTTTGGCCTCCACCGTTTCGCTTCCTCTTGAATTCTCCACGCTGTGTTTCTTATATTGAATCATTGTGTTTTTGATGTGTGCAGAGGAGAGGGGGGGCGGGGGCGGGGGGGGCAGCTGTGGTTCCACTCAGCTGGCCTCACTTTATTTAGTCCTGCTCCAGATAATGAACTGTGTCTTTGCTCAGCGGGGGCCATTTTGACTCCGTAGATCAAAACACACAGGAGCTACTGTAGATGCACTTAGCATTTTAGCCTTGATGCTAACACACAACTGTTACACTGTACTCATCTCAGGGCCCGGTCCTGATATAAAATAATTAGCAGTCGACTTTTCTACCCATCAGTCATTGCGTGTCTGAATTAGAGCCATAATGGGTAACTTCTCTGACTCTGCAGCTGCTTTTTGCCCTCAGGGGCAAACGTTGGTACCTCGCCATAAACCCCAGCAGCAACATTAGCTCAGCCTAAACCTGTCAACACACCATTACAACCTACGCTGACTATTAAGAGCTGAGGGGTGAGGAGGAAAAGGGGAGGACGAAGGAGCAGAGCCGTCGTAGCGGAGAGGCGTTGGCAGATGTGGGCCGACGGAATGTGGCAACAGAGATGTTTGTTGGCTGTTAGCAAACGAGTCTGGCTGCTCAGAATGTGGTCGGAGCTGCAGATGCTTATCGAGAACAGGGGCCGCCCGAGTTACCGTGACGATATCTGGTAAATGTCAGTTACGTTGGATGACAATGGTTTTATTAGCACACGTGGATTATGATTTGTGCCTCGCTTCGCCGCCTAGAGGAAACAGGAAGGTAACGCAGTAGTAGTAACATGGAGAAGGCGGAAACAAACCTGCATGTACAAGATGTTCTTTAGATCATACCTGTGGTGCACCCTATCTAACAAACCACAAGGCATTATGGGAATTTTCCACCTAATACTGCTGCAGTTTTTACAGTTTAAATTGTTTTAATCAATGAATCATGATTGGACAAAAACTGTATTTTAAATAATTCTAATAATAATTTGATCTACAGCAGCTTTATCGGCCATTATTTTATCATTACTTAGCTATAAGTGAAAAGAGTAGAGGGGAATTTCGACCCCTCCCCCCCAGCAGTCAGACCATGAATGGAGCCCTCAGGTGAAGCCCTGTTGAAACAAATCTGAAGCTGCCTCATGACACGCACCGTGAAACTCTTCACAGGTCATTTAGACTGCTGACAGGCTGCTGCGCCTCCTCCTCCTCCTCCTCCTCCTCCTCCTCCTCCTCCTCCTCCCCTTTGAGCTGAGTGCTGCATTTATGGTTTGTGTGGTTTAACAGAACACACTCTGGCCCACGGAGACAAGAAATGGTGCGCTCGCACAAACACACCACCATCCAACTGCCTCGTACCGTCGGGGTTGTGACTGCAGTACAACAGTTTTTGGTACTGCGTCCGTAGTGAGGGATGGAGGAGCGATCAGAGCCGGTCCTCCTGGAGTTTGTCGGTGGAACTGCGGCTACATTTGGACGGTTCTGGATCCACATTCATCTCCATCAAATGAGTGTGTGTTCCTGTGAATGATACGAACAGTGGACGTGGACGGGGGTGGGGGGGAAACCCCACAGTGGTTAGTGCTCAGGTCTTACAGTAAGAAGGTCACAGGTTCGATTCCCGGTTGAACTTAGGTGTGAATGTGAGCGTGAATGGTTGTTGTCTTGTCTCGATGTGTGGCCCAGTGATGGACCAGAACGTAGCCCCCGCCCCACCACATAACTGCAGCAGCATAGTAATGTATAGTATGGTGTATGAAGTACTGTATAGTATTGTGTAAGTACAAAAATCCTAACACAGTACCACTCAGTATTCAGTATGACACGCACACTATGATCACATACTGTGACCTGAGGTCAACATTGGTTCTCGTACCTAAAAACTGCACAGCTAAGAGGACAGTGACAACATATTCTTTCTGCTGTTAGCAAGCAAGTGGAAGTTTAGTGCGATGTGTAAAATGTTTGGTGTTTTCACCTTTAGTTTCGTACTGCTCTGATGTATCGGTTTCTGGGTTTTGTTTGTAGCTCGGTCAGGCTTAGTTTTGACCTTCGCAAACAGGCTAAAGTGCTACATTTGACCCGGGAGCCTCAGGTTGAAGACCACTTGAAATAAAACCCCACCACAAACAGTACGTGTGAAGGACTAAACATGACAACTTTTTTAAGCTTCTCGTATGACCCCCTCATTGCCCCCCCCGCCCCCCCCCCCCTCCCCCTACTGGCACTAATCGGCCCCAAACTTTTCTTGTTTTCGTCCTCGCTGCGTTTTTCCAGGTCTCACAGACAGAACTGCTTCTGTCCTGAATGTTTAAAAAGACAATTTTGGTTTGTTTTGATTTTTCTCCGACTTTCAACAGTACGTATCCAGTGACACAACACATTTCTGTCCATCACACTCCCCCCAAAATTGCTACCACACCAACCCCCGACCCTTTCCCAGCACCAATTAACGTCTCCACACATCAGCTTCAAGCTGCAAATTCCTGCGCTGCAAAAATGAAAACATTCACATAAGAATAGACAGTTTAAACAGGTGCCATGGAAACATAATCGTCCGCTGGCCAATTACTGCCTCATGCCCCACTAACAACCATAAATCATCCTCTCCCCACAAAGGGGGCGTTGTGGAGCTGCACTCCTGTCCAATAATCAGAAATGGACTCGAGTAGGACGTGAAGAGCGGGCGCTGAAGCGGCCCATTCTTCTGCCCGGCCCACGATGCTTGGCGGATCCTTCAGCAGCTCAGATATTGTTTTTGCTCGACACCTGTAGGTTTTATCTGAGGGTTTTTGAAATAAATACTGTGTCATCGACGTAACTGTAATCATCGCCATAAAAACTGCAGAGGCCCTTTATGCTGCTGCCAGGTTGTCCTACGTCTGATTTACAGTGGGAGGAGGTGGAGGAGGTGGAGGAGGTGGAGGAGGAGGAGGGAAAAACATCGACAGGAACAGGAGAGAGAGAGAAAGATGTGACATTCTAAAAAAAAAACAAAAAACAGCAAAGTCTAATTGTCCACGCCCCCAGTTTAGCTAAGAGTTAGCAAAAAAAAAGTCAAGAGTCGAAAAGTTTACCTGCAGAAAAGCTCATAGATAAAGATAAAAATGTGCAGGTAAAAAAAAAAATATATTAAAAAAATAATGAAATGATGACATACCTGATGTCGATGATTGCTAAGAAAAGGCAAATTAAAGGTGGATTAAGAAGAGTGGTTTAACCAATCAGATTAGAGAACTAAAGTTTAGATGGAAACCTGGTAAATATTAACCAAAATGATTGGTGAAAGCTACGATTGGCGGCTAAAAAGTTAAAAATCTTAGTGTAAAAAACCTGACACTAACCAAAAGGAGGAGGAGATGAGGGGGGGGGTCGTCGGGTCCTGGTGTTAGCACAGAACATGATGTAGATTTTATAAACCCACCTGTAGAACTGTACAGTCACACACACACACACACCTGTAGACCACCCGTCTCACACTCACACCTGGGAACTTTCACCGGCCTGGAGGGGGAGGAGAGGGGGAGGGGGGGGGCTGCCTCAGGAATTCTGTGTGGATTACAAAGAGGAACATTGTTCCGTGCCTTCACACACACACACACACACGTGCAGCAGCAGCAGGTGAGGTGTCATCAGGATAATCCCTTCTCTTTCCCAACATTAATTCTTCATTTTCAGGCTGAAAACAGACTGGAGTGATTATGGAATCGAACCCTCCACCACTGACTGTTTGATCTGTCAACACACTGGAATATTCACCGTGTGAGTGAGAGAGTCGGACGATACTGAAAACACCAGGGAAACCTGGGGTTAGTCAGACTTGGTCACTAGGTTCAGACACAGTCAGTGTTGACTTTCACACCTCAGGTTTCCAAAAAAAAAAAAACTTCTAAATTATAATTTCATCTTTTAATAAAAAACAGAATTCATTTCTAAATTCTTGGAGCAGAACAGACAAAAGTCTGACGATTGTAGTTTTTTAAAAGATTTTTTCCCGTGGACTTTAGTCATCGTCAGACTGCTGAGTGGCATTGTCAGGTTGCTGGTTCTATTCCCAATCTTGGGGTTTGCATGATCTCCCTGTGTGTGTGTGTATGTGTGTATGTGTGTCTCCTTCCCCAGCTCCAACTCCTCAGGGTTGATGGGAAACTCTGAATTGACCATAGGTGTGAATGTGGTGTGAACTGTCGCATCAAACTGCCCAGCAGGTGTCACTCTTGAAACAGCTGTGATTTGGTTATTAGAATAATAACTGCCTGGATGTAAGGGGTTAACGGGCAGGAATTGGGCCCTGGGCCACGTGTTGGAGACCGCTGGTTTATGGACTTTGGTGCAGAGAAGAGAAAATTATAAATGGAAATACAGAGTGTGAATGAGTGTGAATGTGGTGTGAATGATTCTTTGTCTCAGTGTGTGGATCTGTGGTGGACTGGAGAACCGTCCAGAGTTTGGCCCCGCCCCCATCTGAGGTAGAATGAATGAATGAACAGAGGAACTTACAAAGAAGAACGTTTTATTTTCATGAAAAAAAAAAAAAAAACCATGAAAAGTTGAACTGGGTCAGGAAATCAAACGCACCCTCAGGTACTTCAGTGATCTTTCTCACAACACAGACATGTTTCCAGTTAACCTGTTGAAGTCACATGATCTTGGTCTGGTTTATAAACACTAACACACACACACACACCGTCCTGTGTGCAGATATGAACTGGAGGTGAGGGTAGAAAAAAACAAAAGTGTCTTCAGTTTGTGTCAGGTAGTATTTCAAGCAGCAGCTCTGACTCTGAACTCTGATTTTTCTGAATTGGCAACAAAAACCTGCAGCAGCTTTGACTCATCTCTTGGCCTCGAACCGTGGGTTTTCTGGTGCTGGTGCCCGGGGCTGCTGATCCGACAGCCAGTTATTGACAGGATGATGTTCATTCACAGTCTGTCCAACGCTGCCTTCTATTTTGGACGCAGCTCCGTCGCACTTTTGGTTCGTTCCTGTATCCGCCGTCTCCTCCGGGCCAACGCCTCCTGTTTCTTCCTCTCGATCTCCACGGCCGAGCACTTTCCCATCATCTGACTGGTGACAAAAACTGGAGGAGAGGAAGGAAAGTGAGGACGGGAAGAAAATGAGTGGAAAGAATGAATACGGTTTCCAAGGAAAAGCTGACAATCGGCCGCGGAGAAATCGGAGAGAAATCGGAACATGTGCTTTCACCGCCGCGATTGTGGAAAGAAAAAGAAAACATGTCGAATTTTAATTTGTCAAGACTTCAGAGTGTAGCTACCGCAGCTAATGCTAGTGAGTGGTGACACATGGTGAACAGCTCCTTCAGGACAAACCGCCAGAAAAACACAAAAGTGAACCCGAGCTGCGCTGGCACCGACGCCGCCTGAGGTTTGGACGCACGAATCAAAGGGTACTCGCTGACTGTGAGGAGGAGCGCGTCCAAGAGCACGTGCACTGAACTGTCACTGATTATGACATCATCACGTGACAACTGGTGTGAAAAGAAAATATACTGACATGTTGATCAGGAAAGTCCAGGAATATGTCAGAGGTCAAAGGTCAAATATCACGCTGTAAAAACACCGGATCGTCAGCGTTTCCTCCTGTGACACTGAAGACTATGATCAGACAAATACTACTGCAGTAGAACTATGATATCTATGAAGTACAAAGCAAATATCTCCTTAACATACTAACATGTAAACGTATATATCTATATATGTATATATGTATACATATTTGTATATATAAATACATTTCAATATATGTATGCTTTGTACTTTATATACTGTATATATATACCTCATATATATATATGGTAAAACACTGGAAATTTCCACAAATAAATACTAGGAATTATTCATTTCTCTGACGTAGTTCGGCGTAAACACCTCACCTTTGTTGCTGCTGTCCGCCGAGTCGGTTACGTTTCTCTTGAAGGCTGCGTGATGAAGCTCGGACTTTGGCGTTGGTCTGGCGGTCGCCGTCGGCAGCTCCACACTTCCGGGAGATTCCCTGAACTGACTGAACGTTCCCAGACTCCTGCGACTTCCCGGGAGGCTCTGAGATATCCTGGCTGGTGATTGGTTGTTGGCTCCTCTCATGGTGACGCTCCATCCTCGATAGTTCACACTTTGACTGCTGGTGCCCGGGACCGAGTTCGAACGGACGAAGGCACACGAGGACCGTCGGTTAGTGTTAGCGCCGGTGTTTGCGGACCGGACCCTGTGGATCGGCACGGGCGCTGTGGCGCTCCTCTGTCCGTCCACGGCGGGTTCCTCCTCTCTGGGCTGACTGTTGGAGATCCTCTCCACGGTGTCACACACCTGGTACAGCAGAGCGTCTTCAACGCCGTCGTCCCATAAACTGTCAGACGCCTTGACGTCATCGCTGTCCCTCTGACGGTCAGGTTGAGGGACCGTGGCAGTGTTCGTGGTAACAGACCTTTGGTCCTTTGGTTTCAGTACAGAACGTTGAGAGTTGGAGACCTCTGAGGCCTCGGTGCTGAGCCGACAGCGAGGGTTGGACTCTAACGTAAAAGTGCTTCTGTTGGTGCTCTTTGGTTTGGGACGTACTGGCTTCAGGTGCGAGCCTGAGGTCGGATGTGGACGGTTTGTATTAGTGGTGTTTTTACAAACGGACTTGGAGGGAGTCGTTTCCGTCTCTCCGTCTGTTTTTAAAGTGGCTGTCGTGTCTGTGTGCGACGTCCTGTCAGCGGTCGGTGACATTTCCAGCACAAAAAAGTCGTCCAGTGCGTCGTCGCTCTCCCAGTTGTCCTTGAAGTCGTCACAGGTTTGTTCAGCAGCTGTTTTCTTGAGCTCTGACTGTTGGGCTCCAGCTGAGGTCCCAGTCCCGGGTCGTTTGGGTAAAGAAGCCGACACCGAGGACCCTTGGCTTAAAGGACCACTGACCTTCTGAGTGGACGAGTCAAACAGAGCCTGCAGCTCCGCCTCCACCCGGTCTGAACTGGATGAACATTTCACCTCCTCGGTGTTTCTGCCAGAAGACGTTTCTGAACTTTTGACCTCCGAAGGGTTCACACAGTCCTGGTGGTTCTTATTGACATCGATCAGTTTTTCTGAACTCTCTTTGTCCTGCTGCATGTTCTCATCGAACCGTCTGGCCAGTTTGAGGAGTTCGTCCACGGTCTGTCTGTAGAAAACCACAGAGCGACGACAGTTAATGAGGGATAAACACACAGGACTGACTTCACTCCACATTCACTCTGTGAGAGGGTTCATATGTGGATGACAGACCTGGAGACTCTTCTCTTCGTCCTTGGTTCTGGGACGTCTGGTGTACAGGGGACGGCGCTGTCGCTGATCCACTGCAGCAGAGAGGACTCGGTGGCTTTCACTGTGGTTTCCTTTGTAACGAGGTGACAGTAAAAGGCAACATTATTATCAACAAACATCAGTTCTGCAGACAGACGGCACTAGAAAATAACTAACCACTGACCTTCGGAGCGATACGATTCACAATATCTGATATTTCAACTCTGATGTTCCTGTTTCCACTGCCTGAAAAATTGTACATCAAATTATCAATATTGTACTTCATCTTCATCTTCATCAGTAAAGTCAATCAGTGCATTAAGCTTTTTTTAACCTGCTTTTCCTTGAGTGGGAGAATTTGCATCCCAGAAAATATCTTGTGACGGTTCAACCTCACTTGGTGAGTCGCCATGACTCAGGCCTGCAAAACCGCTGAAGCCACTGCGTTTAGGACTCTGTAAATCTGTGAGGGAAAAATGTGGAGAAGGTCAGTGTCCGTCTACAGAGCGTGCAACAGAAAAAGTGAGCACAGCATTGAGCGTACTGATTGGTCGTTTTTGATAATTACAAAAGTCAGTTTATTTTGGAATACGTTTCTCGGTTTAGATGTGAAAAAGGGTGAAAAGTAAAAAAACAAAACAAACAAATTGAAAACTACTTCTTATTGCACTGAAGTAAACCTCTTGCCTAATAAGATTAGCATCATTTATGTCTAATTAAATCACTATAAAAGGCATGATGACATCACTTCCACAAGTATTTATTTAACAAAATACCTGAAAAGCTGTTTACTAAAAACACAGTTTAAATAAACAGTGAAAAGAGTTACAGATTGTAATACATATACAGTGCTTAAATTGGTTTGTTTACATGTAATTTTACGTGTTTTTTCCACATTTTTTTTAATGATTTCGGGGAGAGTTGCCCCTTTTCTAACCCTGGGCACCTGCCCCTGAAACTCCTCTGAACGCCAGTGTTTTTGTTCGTCTCGCTGCCACATGTGTTTGCCTCTTTGTTGGGGTGTGAATTTAAACAAATCACATCTAATTTGTGGTGATGTTTTGTTGATGTTGTTGTTGTTTCGAAGCAGTGGGCTGTAGCCGCGGTGTTACCTCCACACACGGCTGTTGTTGCGGTTGTTGTGCGGGGCATCTTTATTGTCTGCCCACCGGTTTCCTCACACTCTGCTGCTGTTTTACCCTCATTGACATTGATAACGTTCCTCCACAGTTCGATGAACTCTGCGGAGTCAGCGGCAACAGCACCGTCATTAGCCGCATGTATCATCGGCTCAAATAACGGTTCAAATTAACGGCACCAACGATTTTATCTCCACCGTCTCTGTTTTATTCTCTTACTTCAGCGGGTCGCCATGTTTAAAAGTGACGTCATCGGTCTACGGATGCCGGCGAGGTTTTGAAATATCGCTTGTGGCGGAGTGAAAACACCATTTACAGATTACTTTCCTAATTTAAACCTACAATTATTACCGTTATCGATATTAAAAAATAATAGAGAAATAATTCGTTTATTTTCTATCTCAAATAAATGATTTGAAAGACTTAATGTATATGGTTTACATTCGATTTTTAAGACATTTGTTTTTGGAATATTATTTACACAACACCAATTTATATATATATATATATTTAAGTATCAAATCCTTTCAACTCTCAAAGATTTAATAAAAATCAAATCACATGGACGGTGTAATAATTTCCACTATTGATTTATTTAACCTTTCACCTGTTTTCACGGCTGCATTTTCATTCCATATTTCACCTCAGTGTTTTCACTGCTGCATTTTCATTCCATGATATTAAGAACACATTGTTTCTAAATTAGTTCACGGCAACATTGACGTATATGGTAAGAATAATTTATCTCAGCTTTGAGTTTTTAGAAACTGGAGCCATAGAATTACACTGTGTTTTTTTAAAAAGGATAAAAAATGAGAGAAAAGTGAGGATTTTTTTTCACATTTCTGCAAAGCAGTTTCCAGAAAAAGCACTAGATGGTGCTTGTATACCTCATTGGTACTGTGTGTGTGTGCGTTTGCGTGTGTGCGTTTATATGTGTGTAATACAGAGACCAGTGCAGATTGGTTGCAGAGAGATTTGTGTAGAAAATGTTTTTGGTGAGGTGCAGTGCTGCGGGAATACTCTGCTGTAATTGATAACACACACACACACACACACACACACACACACAAAGCTGCAGTGCATTACTATGCTTGATTATATCATTGTGCTTTGATTGTTTTCATTTGGAAGCTGTTTATCAATAGAGCGGATTGAGGGAAGCCAATCATCGTGGTTTCTTTGATTTAATGCCAGAAACTGTTACGAACAGACGACCCGTAGTCGCAGCCTCTGCTTCTCTGGGTTAGCCGTAATTCCTGTTTCATCAAAACATCAGTAGACATTTAAACACTGCTAACAATAAATGCATGCAGTCAGAGGATGCTGCACCATGTGTCATCTCTCAAACCATATTCAAATTCAGTCAGGGAAATATGTCACTGTAGCCGGAAGGAATAAAATACAAGTCATGGACGGGAGGAAAAGTCACTGATCTTTCCAACTGACGGAGTCATTTGATAAATGACAGTTAAAGGAACAGGAGTTTGATGTTTTCATTTTAAAGTCAACAGAGTCATTTTATTTGCAAATTGTCAAATAAATGCTGTGCCATTGTTCTGTTTTCATCCAAGTAGCATTTAAAAAAAAATTGATTTAATTTTGAATGTTTTTTCCTAATTAAATTTATCCTAATTTTTGAAATTTCAAATAAAATTTTTGTTAAATTTATTTAAATTTTAATTTAACTTTTCTGTTTTCATCCAAGGAAAGTAGTAACATTTAAATTAAAATTTTGATTTAATTTTGAATAATTTTTCCTAATTAAATTTGTCCTAATTTTTGAAATTTCAAAAAAAAAAAATTGTGTTAAATTTATTTAAATTTTAATTTAATTTAAATATTTTTTTTATTAGTTAACTAATAGCCTTACTATGCTTTGGCTGTGTTTTTTTTAAATATATTTTATTTTATAAATATTTAATTTTGTACAGAAATTTTTGTGGAAAATATTTATGTTAAATATGGGACATTTTGGAAGAGTCTGTGATTTATTTGTTATTACGGGGCAGATTTCTCCTGGAGGAATTTGAATAAATAGGTAGTCGTCTTCTGCCTGTCTTAAATTCACCATAAAAACCCTGTGTCAAACCAATGTTAGTGTTTCCTTAACGTGATATTTTGAAGTCCTCATCATTGTCACTTTAATTAAAACACAAGACATCATTTTGTTTTATGTTTTAATTATTTTAACCTAACCCAGTTCTGCCTTTTTTAATTCCCTGAAAGGGCAGGAAAAACTGCCCGAAGCTTCTGATGTTAGCCTTCAGAGTTTAGCCACTCTTCAAGCTAACTGGGTTATTTCCCAGAAGCCTCTAACTACCTACCGCCTTCCTCTATTTATTGGTTACGCCTCGGTTGTTTAGAAGCAATTAAGGAGCTAATTGTGGAGATTTCTGAGTACTGGGTATTATAGTAAAAAGTAAAGAGCTAATGGCTAATTGCCCAAGCAGCTGCTAGTGTTTATGAAGGAGGAGCGAACATGCCAGGAGAACTGACAGGCGTAGACGGCACTGAGGACATGGACACGTGTGTGTGTGTGTGTGTTACACATCATTGCTGCGAATCCCATGAATGTTCACACTGGGCTGTTGCCAGGTGAGTGAGATGATCATGCTGGAGAAGTGTCTGCTAAAATAATAATCACCTCTGAAACCCGTCTGAAAATGGAGGAGTCCAAAGTGTCTCCCACCTAAACTGGAGGTTTTAATGCCACCTCCATCTTTTCTCACCCTTTACTCACTCCTAGCAGTCTCCCCCCATCCTCCCCCCCTCTGGGCTAGCAGTACCTCATGACAGTAAGCATGTGGCGGAACTCTCTGAAGTGGAAGTGATCCAGGATGAAGCGGTTTCTGTGCCAGCTTCACCAAACTGGGATTTCATCCCATTTCACAATGTCTGCCAATGACTGGGACTGTGAACGAAAGCATTTGAATCGCTGCCCGGCTTTACAGGGTCAGATCAGTGGGTTTTAGTAGCGGATAGTTGCAGCCCAGGCTGGACTGGTGTCCAGCTGAAAGAAATCCCAGGAGGAGTGGTTTTATAGTCACCGGGGGGAAAGGGAAGTGTGAAAGAACAAACAAACGCTGTGTGGAGATAAAGAGAGAATGAAAATAATCTAAAATCATACAGCTGGGAGTCTGAGCATCCCCAGAAAATGACAAAACAGTTTTCTCCTTTTAAAACAAATATATTTGTTTTGGTTTTTTGGGATCTGAACATGTTCAACTTGTCATGAAACTGTGATCAAACTAAAGGTAAAAATGAAGAATCAAAGGTTGTGAAGAGCTGAACCACAGACAGGGACCGAGTCAAGTATCTGTCAGACGGGAAAACTAAGAAAAAAGATAGACAGAGCTATTGAAGATCTTTGTGTCTTTCTTCAATTCCTGCCGGTCTATCAGCGTTGTCTTCAACTAAACAGGCTGATATTTTAGTCAATTATGAGGTCATTTAAACTAGAAGATTATTATATTTCATCACATATACTTTTTGTGAGATTTTGTTTGGTGATGTGGGTTTTTTCTTGCTGATGATATAAATGTGCCGTGGCTCAAAAAAGGCTCCAGGACGGTGATATTTTTACCCAAACGTCTCCAGTCTTCCAGGAAGTGCCACCATCTCCCAACTGCCTATAAAAATCCGTCCTCGTCATTTCTGCCACGTCTTTGCCCAGAAATAGCGGAAGAAAAAGTAAAAGTTTGAAACAAGAACAACCTGTACTTGACAAACAGGCGTGTCAGTCACACTTACGTCAACCGCGCTGATCAAACTGAAGGACAAAGTTATGGACACTCCATTTAAAAGGACAAATGATTAACTTTAGCAACAAGGTTGGAACAAAAAAAAAAAATTGGAGGTACCTTAATTTCAAAAATCTAATCCCTTTTCCATCAGGCCAACCTCCGAATCTTAATATCGGTAATGAAATATCATAATTTTAGTAGATCCAATTAACCCCTGTCTGCACTCCCCGTGGGCTTCACTCAACACAGATCCAGATATCGTCTTGTTCCAGACCGTTCCGTCACGTCCATGTCACCTTGTCTGGGCCAACCTGGAGTCTCACACGTTGGAGACGGCTGCCATTTTGTAGCAAGAAGTCTGAGCCACAGCGCTGAGCGATGGTGTTCAGATGGG